CCTCGGCCTCCCAAAGTGCTGGGATTACAGGCTTGAGCCACCGTGCCCGGCCAGCTTTTTTCTTTTTTAAGATGGAGTCTCACTCTGTCGCCCAGGCTGGAGTGAGTGCACTGGTATAATCTCAGCTCACTGCAACCTCCGCCTGCCGGGCTCAAGTGATCCTCTTGTCTCAGCCTCCCGAGTAGCTGGGATTGCAGGCATGTGCCACCACGTCCGACTAATTTTTTGTTTTAGTAGAGCTGGGGTTTCACCTTTTTGCCAGGCTGGTTTCAAACTGCTGACCTCAAGTGATCCACCTGCCTCGGCCTCTTAAAGTGCTGGGATTTTAGGCGAGACCCACCTCTCCCAGCTGCTCACAGTGCTTTTGTAGTTCCAGACTGCTTTGTCCATAAGTCTGCAGAGCTCTGACCAGGAAGGCCCAGCAGCCACAAGGGCAGGAGATGATTGAGGGAGCTCCTGCCCCTTCTGCCCCTAAATTCTTGTTGGCAGACTGGTCCATGTGTTCTTTGTTCATTGACTTCACAGGCTCAGACCAGGACAGACATGGTGGAATGAGAAAAGGGAAAATATGTTCTCTCTGCTGCTCTTCTTCTCTCCTCTCCCCTGCCTTCTGTAATTACTGTTCCTCTGAGTGTGCTGACCAGAGCTCTTCCTCTGTTCTTTAGCCAGCCTGCAGAGGCGCTGAAGAGCAGGCCTGACGCTGTTCCCTTCCCTTCTCAACAGAACCTGCATGTGTACATCTCAGAGCACGAGCACTTTACAGACTTCAACGCCACCTCAGCACTATTCTGGGAGCAGCACGACCTTGTGTATGGCGATTGGACTAGCGGCGAGAACTCAGACGGCTGCTACGAGCACTTTGCTGAGCTTGACATCCCACAGGTGAGGGGCAGCTTCTGGTTTCTGGCCCCATGGCTGCTTGACTGGCACTAAGGACCTTTCCTCCAGTCCACTCCTTTTTGAAGGTGTGTGGAATTCTGGCTTCAGGCTTGGGACCCTTCCCTGGGCTCACATCTCTGTGACCACAGGCGGGTCACTGAGGTCTCTGGGCTTCACTTTCCCTTACCTGAAAAAGGTAGAGGCTGGGCACAGTGGCTCACGCCTGTAATCCCAGCACTTTGGGGGGCTAAGGCAGGTGGATCACCTGAGGTCGGGAGTTCGAGACCAGCCTGACCAACATGGAGAAATCCCATCTCTACTAAAAATAAAAAATTAGCCAAACATGGTGGCACATGCCTGTAATCCCAGCTACTTGGGAGGCTGAGGTAGGAGGATCGCTTTAACCCAGGAGGCAGAGGTTACGATGAGCCAAGATCGCGCCATTGCACTCCAGCCTGCTCATCAAGAGCAAAAATCTCCATCTCAAAATAAAAAAATTAAAAAATTAGCTGGGCCTCTGTAATCCCTGCTCAGGAGACTGAGGCAGGAGAATTTCTTGACCCCGGGGGCTAGGTTGCATTGAGCCAAGATCATGCCACAGCACTCCAGCCTGGGCGACAGAGCGAGACTTTGTCTCAAAGAAAAAAAAGAAAAAGGTAGATGGGGCGGAATTGGCCTGGGACCCTCCCAGCTACCTCTAAGGTTGTGCAGTCCTCGACTTTAAACCAGTGAAAGATTAGTAATTGTCCTTGGGGATGTTTGCCTATCACTAGTTTATCAAACAGCCCTGTTTCAAAATGATATGAGTTTTGAGCAATTACTAAGTGCAGGGTACTAAAGTAGGCTGACCTGTGGAAACCTCCCGGCAATGCTGTGAAATAGGAACTGTGATCATTCTCATTTAACATATGAGGAAACTGAGACATAGGGAGGAGGGAAAGTGACTTATCCAAGGCCATATCACATGAGAGATTCAAACTCAGGCTCTACAGCCGTGGCCTCTCACAGCCCCAGGATTAACTCTTGCCTCCTCCAGGAAGCCCTCCCTGATCCTCAGAGCACTCAGCCTTGGTTAAGTGCCCTCTCTGGGTTCTCACACCTGCTGGGCTTCCCCGTCCCAGCCCACTCTGGGGCCTCGCTGGGACAGGTCTTTCTTCTCTATGGGACTGTGAGCCTTGTGATGATAAGGCTGGGGATGCCTAGATCCCTTCTGTGTCCCCAGCACTGCCCAGTGTGGGACCGGGCTGAGAATCAACAAATACTGAACAAGGGAAGGGGACATCTTTTTGGGGCCTTCTTCAGCTGAGTCCAAGACAGCTGCCCTTGTTCCTTTCTCCCCAGCAGGCCTTCTCCTCATCCTTGGGGTGGAGGGCGCATTTCTGTCTGTTCTGTTTCTTTCTGGATGGCTAGAAGCAGAATGTGGACACAGTCATTCTTTTTTTTTTTTTTTTTTTTTTTTTGAAACAGAGTCTTGCTCTGTCACCCAGGCTGGAATACAGTGGCATGACACTGGCTCACTGCAACTTCCATCTCCCAGGTTCAGACTGTTCTCGTGTCAGCCTCCTGAGTAGCTAGGACTGCAGGCACACACGATCACACCCAGCTAATTTTTGTATTTTTTTTTCTTTTCGGCAGGTGAGTTGCTACACACTGCTTACCGGATTCCGACTTCCATGGCCACTGTCCTAATTTTTGTATTTTTAGTAGAGACAGGGTTTCACTATTTTGGCCAGGCTGGTCTTGAACTCCTGACCTCAAGTGGTCTGTTTTCTTTGGCCTCCCAAAGTGCTGGGATTACAGGTGTGAACCACTGCGCCCTGCCATCATTCTTTTCTTTTTGAGATGGGATCTTGCTGTTGCCTAGGCCGGAGTGCAGTTGCACGGTTACAGCTCACTGCAGCCTCAACCTCCTAGGCTCAAATGATACTTTAGCTGGGACAGCAGGTGTGCACCACCATGTCCAGCTAATTTTTTGTGTTTTTCATAGAGATGGGGGTCTCGACGTGTTGCCGAGGCTGGTCTCAAACTCCTGAGCTCAAGCAGTCCTCTCACCTCAGCCTCCCAAAGTGCTGGGATTACAGGCATGAGCCTGTAATTAGTGGGCTGGGATGGGGAAGCCCAGCAGGTGTGAGAACCCAGAGAGGGCGCCCCACCTGGCTGGACACAGACTTTCTAACCTGCACTGAGACGTGGCTCTGACAGAGACCTCAAGCCCAGCCCCCAGGCCTTGCTCCAAGATCCAAGGAAGGACCAGGGTGTGGCAGGCCCAGCAGGGGGATCTGCTTCCAAGGCCTTGGATCTAAGTTGAAGCTTCAGGGGTCTGGGTGGACTTAAAAGGCAGGAGAGCTGGGCACGGTGGCATATGCCTGTAGGCACAGCTATTCAGGAGGCTGAGGTGGGAGAATGGCTGGAGCCCAGGAGTTAGGACTGTAGTGTACCACGATCGCAACTGCAGATAGCCAGTGAGCTCCAGCCTGGACAACACAGCAAGACCCCATCTCAAAGGCAGGAGAGTGAGGCGAACACAATGTGGCCAAATGAATATGAGCTCTCCTCAAGGATCAGAGGGATTCAGCTCTGGGCTTTGTCTCCAGCCCCTGGGCAGCTTGTCTCCCTTCTCAAAGCCTCAGTTTCCTCATCTGTATCAAGTGAGAACAGTCCCCCTTCCCTGGGAGGCAAGGAGACTTGATGAGATAATGAGGAAGTCTTGGGCAGACGGGCCAGCTGGACGGCAGCAGGGAGTAATGCCCAGGATCCCAGAGACTGGATTTCCATCTGCGTACTCACCATACACTATGCGACCCCTTGGCATGAGCCCCATTTGCCTCATCTGCAAACTGGGGTGGTAATGTGACCCCTTGCATAAGGTCAGCAAATGTTACCTGTGTGCTAACTCAGTGGATTAGGGAGCTACTGTCCGAAGCGCCCTGGGCAGGGTCTGGCCCGTCGTTGGAGCTCTGTCGGTCAGCTGCTTCTTCCTGCTGAGTGAACTTTTTTTGTGTGTGTGACAGAGTTTTGCTCTTGTTGCCCAGGCTGAGGTGCACTGGCATGATCTTGGCTCACTGCAACCTCCACCTCCCAGATTCAAGCAGTTCTCCTGCCTCAGCCTACCAAGTAGCTGGGATTACAGGCATGAGCCACTGAGCCACTGCACCCGGTCTCCTGCTGAGTGGACTTAATGAGAGCTTGTTGGCTGAGCTGTGTGCCAGTGCTCTGGGTAGTCCCGGCAGTGGTGCCCTTGGGTCAGCGCTGTGGGGACCTTGCATCATCCATGTGGGGCCCTGAGGCTCAGGGAGAAGCTGAGCTCACATGGCCATGACAGGTAGAGCGGGGTCTGAGTCTGACTGACTCCAGCGTTTAACTCTCAACCACGCAGCTACATGCCACACCTTGAGCACTCAGTAAATGGCCAGAGAATTGGGGGGAGGAAACTGCTGGGGGCGGGTGTCAGGCAGGGCTTTAAAGTGTCCTTCATCCCAGGGCCCAGCTTGCCTACCTGACCTTCTGTCTCTTGCAGAGCGTCCAGCAGAACGGCTCTATCTACATCCACGTTTACTTTACCAAGAGTGGTTTCCACCCAGACCCCCGGCAGAAGGCCTTGTACCGCCGGCTTGCCACAGTCCACATGTCCCGGAGTAAGTGCTTTTCTGCAGCCAGGACCCACTGTCTAGGGGGCCAGCATCCTGGGAGCCTCCAGGCTGTGTGATGGACAGCACATCCCAGGTCCGGGAGGGCAGGCTTGAAGCCTGTGCTCAGAGAGGGTGGAATTGGCAGGGCAGGCTCAAGCCTCACCCACCTTTAAAGAGCCCTGTGGACGCTAAGCAGGGAGACCCACGGAGGAAGGAGACAGGGACTCTTGGAGAGGAGGAAACGGACTTTATCAAGCTGGAGGAAGGGCCGGGGTGGATTGTGCACCGTAGGGGCCTGATAGAAGTAGATGCTCAAAAATAATTCACACCTGTAATTCCTAGCACTTTGGGAGATGAGGTGGGCAGATTGCTGGAGCCCAGGAGTTTGAGACCAGCCTGGGAAACATGGCACAACCCTGTCTCTACCAAAAAAGATACAAAAATTAGCTGGGTATGTGCTTGTAGTCCCAGCTACTCAGGAGGCTGAGTTAGAAGGATCACTTGAGGCCGGGCGCGGTGGCTCACACCTGTAATCCCAGTACTTTGGGAGGCCGAGGCGGGTGGATCACGAGGTCAAGAGATCGAGACCATCCTGGTCAAATGGTGAAACCCCGTCTCTACTAAAAAAAATACAAAAAATCAGCTGGGCATGGTGGCACATGCCTGTAATCCCAGCTACTCAGGAGGCTGAGGCAGGAGAATTGCCTGAACCCAGGAGGCGGAGGTTGCGGTGAGCCGAGATTGTGCCATTGCACTCCAGTCTGGGTAACAAGAGTGAAACTCCGTCTCAAAAAAAAAAAAAAAAAAAAGAAGGATCACTTGAACTCAGGAGGTGAAGGTTGCAGTGAGTCGAGGTCACACTATTGCACTCCAGCCTAGGTGACAGACTGAGAACCTGTCTCAAAAAGATAGATAGAGGCCAGGCGTTGTGGCTCACGCCTGTAATCCCAGCACTTTGGGAGGCCGAGGTGGGCGGGTCATCTGAGGTCAGGAGTTCGAGACCAGCCTGACCAACATGGAGAAACCCTGTCTCTACTAAAAATACAGAATTAGCCAGGTGTGGTGGCACATGCCTGTAATCCCAGCTACTTGGGAGGCTGAGGCAGGAGAATCGCCTGAACCCAGGAAGGGGAGGTTGCAGTGAGCTGAGATGACACCATTGCACCCCAGCCTGGGCAACAAGAGGGAAACTCTATCTCAAAAAAAAAAGATAGGTAGATAGATAAAATTCAAAGAATAGCCTGGGCAATGTAGTGAGACTTCATCTCTACAAAAAATAATAGCCAGGTATGGTGGCGAGCACCTGTGGTTCCAGCTACATGGGAGGCTGAGGTGGGAAGATCACTTGAGCCTGGGAGTTTAAGGCTGCAGTGAGTTGTGATTGCACCACAACATTCCAGCCTGGGTGACAGCAAGTCCACGTCTCTCAAAAAAAACAATAGTAATAAAAAATAAAACTACCAGTATTCGCAGCTACTTGGGAGGCTGAGGTGGGAGAATCAGCATGAGTTTTGGACAGGACAAACATTCAAACCATAGCATTGTCCACCCTCTTGTTTTCGGGGGTTAATAATTGTTGGCATCTTTCTGCTTGCCTGGCTCTTTTTTTTTTTGAGACAGGATCTTGCCCTGTCACCCAGGCTGGAGTGCAGTGGACGATCTCAGCTCACTGCATCCTCCACCTCCCGGGTTCAAGTAATTCTTTGACCTTAGCCTCCCAAATAGCTAGGGCTATAGACACACGCCACCACGCCCAGCTAAGTTTTATATTTTTAGTAGAGACAGGGTTTCACCATGTTGGCCAGGCTGGTCTCAAACTCCTGACCTCAAGTGATCTGTCCGCCTTGGCCTCCCAAACTGCGGGGATTACAGGCGTGAGCCACTGCACCCAGCCTTGCCTAGCTCTTTGTGACCTTTTTCCTTGAGTCCTCTCTCTCCTGACTGGCAGCCGTTGAAATCTCTCACTGTACCTGTTTGAGCGGATCTGGAGAATGGCCTTCTCAGAAAGCCCCCCGTTCTCCTGACAGGAATTCTGTGTACTCCACCCAGCTTTCATTTTGTTGAGGACTATTCCAGACATTCCCTGTGGATTTGGTTATGATCCATCTGGCTGGTTTTGGGTCGCACATTAGCAGACGGAATTCTGTTTGTATGAGTTAGGTCTTTCCTACTTCTTTTAGTATAAAAATATCGTAAAGGATGACAATTTTTTTTATCACCTATGCTGGATGAAATGAAAAGTTGATGACTTCTCCATGGGTCCCCAGCATTGACTTGAAAAGGTCTTGTGGAGTTAGTTGAGCCCTGATCTGAGTGAGTGCGTCTGCAGAATGTGCTATGTTGGTGTGTCCCACCCAGCTGGCGTCCATGTGGTGAGATCTTTGGAGAGCCGGGCAGAGGTGGCTTGAGGGGGTGTGACCTACAGGGATGGCCTCTCAGATGCTTCCCTGCAGGGGACACACCAGGGGTCTGGGTTAAACAGCCTGATACTTCAGAGGTTGCTCTGAAGGTGACCTAGCTGGGTGGCTCTTCACCGCATTCTTGTACCCCCGTTTGACAGTCACCTGATCACCCCGTTGATCCGGATCGATGGCAGTATTTTCTGTGGTTTTGTCTTTGGTGAATGTGATCCATGTTGTTGTGTGGTGAGGTTTGTTCACTATCAGTCTGGTCTGTAAAATAGAATCTGCAGCCAGTGAACCTGAAAAGGATACTATGATCATCCAGGCCCTCCTCTCTAGCCTTGGAGCTGGGACCCTTGGAGCAGGGACACAGAAGGACTTGGAGTGAGCCACCTACCAACTCCAAGCTGAAGGAGAGTGTGGGTTCAGAAAAGTCCCCTTTTGGCTGGCCAAGGTGGCTCACACCTGTAATCCCAGCACTTTGGGAGGCTGAGGCAGACGGATCACTTGAGGTCAGGAGTTCAAGACCAGCTTGGCCAACATAGTAAAACCCTGTCTCTACTAAAAGTACAAAACTTAGCTGGGCATGGTGTCATGTGCCTGTAATCCCAGCTACTCAGGAGGCTGAGGTGGGAGAATCGCTTGGACCCCAGAGGCAAAGGTTGTAGTGAGCTGAGATTGCGCCACTACTACTCCAGCCTGGGTGACAGAGTGAGACATTTCTTTTTTCTTTTTTTGAGAGGGAGTCTCGCTCTGTCGCCAGGCTGGAGTACAGTGACACAATCTCGGCTCACTGCAACCTCCGACTCCCTGATTCAAGCTGTTCTCCTGCCTCAGCCTCCCAAGTAGCTGGAATTACAAGTGCCTGCCATTGTGCCCAACTAAGTTTTATACTTTTAGTTAGAGACAGGGTTTTACTATGTTGGCCAGGCTGGTCTTGATCTCCTGACCTCATGATCCGCCCGCCTTAGCCTCCCAAAGTGCTGGGATTACAGGCGTGAGTCACCACGCCGGCTGAGTCTACATTTCAAAAAGAAAAAGAAAAACCCTCCTTTTCCCCAAAAGGCGAATGATCGGTATTCTAGAGCAACTCCATCCGATGGAGCTAGGATATGAGTCAGAGAAGGCATTAAAAGTACAGAGGCCAGCCGGGCGCGGTGGCTCACGCCTGTAATCCCAGCACTTTGGGAGGCCGAGGCGGGTGGATCACGAG